ATAAAATAAAATAAAATAAAAATAATCTTATTTCCAGGGCTAAACTACAAATGCACACAGTTTTGTCCCACCAGCTAGACTAGCCACACAGCACAGCACACAGCACACTGCAAACCTGCAAAGAAAGAGGCGCTCCGGATCAGGCGGAGCGGACCTTGCTCTGAGAATGCCCGCCTAGGGCTGCAAAGCTGTGAAAGACCTACATGGCAAAACGTAAAATACACATGAAAGAATGAGGTTAGTAAAGCAGAACAGTCTGTAGGGAGGGGGCCAGGGCCTGGAGAAGATATAAGCCAACATAAATGCAGAGTAACGTATGCAAGAGAAGAGCTCTTACGCGTAACAAGGACGTTGATTCAAGGATAACAGCTTAGAGTTGGACTATATAGTATTTATAGAAATCAAATAATAGACCCAGCTTTACACTGACTCCCATACAACGATGGGGTTTCTCTCCAATGGCTTTTTTTTTGTTTTTAAGTTGAAAAATGATTAATTTATGCAGGCTGAAAGCCTGATTTGATCACAAACAGGAGATTCATCGTGCAGTACAATGTTTGTTTTAATATCCACGCTGATGGGGTGGCCGAGGAATGCTGTTGGTGAAGATGATGGAGAGAAAGGGAAAAGGCAGGCAGAAATGTGTTGTAGTAGAATTAAGAGAAAATTACAGGGTGAAGTAGTTGTTCTGAGAACAGTCAGTACATCAGTTTAGTGAAATGATCAGAGAGAAAATAAAGTAGTCTTAGTAGTCCACTTTAAAAGCAATATTGGATTGTAGATATACCAAGGAAAGAGGGAATTTACTGTACATAGATCCAGGAAAAACACACGGGTATTTTTAATGAGTTAATTGCCAGTGCCTCACCTAAATTTGAAGCTGTTACTCTCAAAGTTTTCTGATTATACAAAACACAAAGGTTGCACCTCAACGAAGCTCCCTTCCATTCTCTTAGGTCTGCACTCACTAAAGCAAAGGACATGACCAGTACTGTTTGGTTTTTGTTTGGTTTTTTTTAAACCAGACTATCTAAAAAAAGCAACTTGTAAATAGTTCCCAACCAAAACACATAGACCCTTCTCCTATCACAGCCTGGTGAGAGCCAGTGAGTCAGGAGCAGTCTTTGCTGTTGGACATGGTGGAAATGCTGCAGTTACAGATTAACTCCTTCACCTAGACCCGTTGTTCCCTCTGCACTGAAACAGGAACTGTCAACAAACACTGTCAAACCAACTGAAAACTTGTGCAGCTCAATCACAAAGAAGGTTTCAGCATCCTCTTCTAGAAGGTAATCTCATCACTTCATGTTGCACGTCGTTGCATTGAGGTGCCAACACCTCCCGGCCAGCTCTGGGGGCAGATATCCTTTCTGCTGGGTGGGTAAGAGTCACCCTCACCACAGATACAGAGGAACGTGTAGCACTGGCTACACCTAAATCATATGGAGTCCACACCTAATAGTTGCATTATCTGAATCTGAACTCACAGTTCAGATCCCACTGGTGATACAGCAAACTTTTGCCAAACACAAACCACAACAAAACCCTAAAAGCCGATGAAGTGAGTTCCTCTCTCTTAGATCAGGCACTTCATTCATGCATGCACTGTGAAAAATCACAATTGAAGTCTGAAAGGAATACTGAATATTAAGAAAAATGCATCTTTTCAACTTTCCTGACTTGGTAAATTCAGGAAGGATTTAATAGATAATAGGTTCTTACAGCTTTAATTGGCTTCCCTTATAAATGGGCCATTGGGAATGATTTTAATGAAGTATGCAGCTTTTCAGCCTGAAAAGTATTTAAACCCATGCTTAGGTGTAGTCTTATCAAAGTCAGTGTGAAGGAGAGGAGTAAACACACCCAACAAGAATCAGGACCATGTCAAAGCCTGAAACCCAGTCAGAGTAACAAAATCATCAGATTCACTCCTTGCTTCCAACCCTAAAAAAGTATATTTTACATACAGCAATATTCTGGAAAGTTAATGTAAAAAAAAAAAAAAAGCCCCTTATTCCACCTACTACAAGAGACATTTGCTTGAAAAGTCAACAATCTAAGCCAAGGGAAAGGGAGGACGTGCTGAAGAGCTCATCAGGCTGCTATATGGGACAGCCAAGCCCTAAAGTGCAGTATCTTTATTATCAGCTCTACTGTTCCCATGGGGAAATGCCAAGACCTTCCCCTCTTCCCATAATCTAATGTTCAGGGAGCCTTCACCCACAGCTCTTCCATGCAGGCTGAGAACCAAAGATGCCAGATGGTTTTTCAAGTCTGCTTAGCCTCCACAGTCAGAGACAGAGAGAGAAAGAGGAGAGAACAAGAAGATATTCTGTCTGATCTGATCAAAAACTCCAGCAGAACTGCGCAGGGTTAACTTAGACTAGTACAGAACGTGCAGCCACACGTACCCAGGTGGCGAGAGTACAGAACAGAGTGAATATTACTAATGAAAATAAAACTGGGGAACCGAGCCAGGCAGAGTCAATCCTGCCTGATCTGAGATATGCTGCTTAGAAAGTTCTACAGACTGTTATTTTCCAATGTTTTCTGTATTTGAACTTGAGTATATCTAAATATTTCTATTATGCATTTTCTGTACACATATACAGCTGTATAAGTTGAACCACTGCTAATTCCTTGAACTGTCTGATTTATTCTCCTCCAAACCCCACTAATATTAATTTTCTGTTAAATCTTTGTCTTTCAGATTTGTTTGGGGTTTTATTTGTTTTGTTTTAATTTGATTCCATTTAGATGACTTTCATATTCTAGAATCTATGATTACTCAGTTAAAGATAATAGGAAACCAATTCTGTTGGTAATTACCTATATTCCCAAGAAGTCCATTCATAATTGTGCTGTGGTCAGGCTTTAATGTATTGCTGTCTTGATTAATGAACTCCAGACTGTCCTGCAACCTATAAAAAAACCATAAAACACACAACAAAAGCAGTGATTTGCATTTCAGTAGAATATGGCATTACTGAATTATAGCCCAAATCATAGAATCATAGAATGGTTTGGGTTGGAAGGGATCTCAAAGCTCATCCAGTTCCAACCCCCCTGCCATCAGCAGGGACACCTTCCACTAGACCATGTTGCTCAAAGCCTCATCCAACCTGGCCTTGAACACTTCCAGGGAGGGGACAATGCAATGGATGAGGTAAGAACACAGGCTTCCACCAGAAAAAGCTTTCATTGCCTAAGCCACACTCTCAGGTGGGTCAACTAACATACACAAAACTAAACTTCTTCTTCATCTTGGACTGAATTCCTCAGCTCCAGTGTTCTGTCCTCATCCCTTCTCCTTTGGTGGTTGCAGGTACTTTGGTACCTTACAATATCAAGCTTCACCATATCAGCACTAAAGGAATAGTTCATTCATTTGCTTAAAGCAAACTGAGGTGCACACACCACAAGGGAAAGGGGATGACACTAGTGACAGGATGTATCAAATCAGGGAAATCAGAAGTTATTTTTCTAGAGAAAGAATCTGGATGGTCCAGAAAAAGTCTTCTGTGTTCTTATATTCATCTGCTTACACACAATAGATACAATTTATAATGGACTCACGTATTGAGGCTTCCGTAGATGCTGCTTCCAGTGCGAGCTGTGAAAACCTTGCTGAGCATGAGCTGAGGAGGTGAGCTAGAGGACAAAAAGGAAGATGTTCAGTCAGAAACACAGTGCCAAGACAGGCTTTGCTTTCTGTTTCCCAACCCTCCAGATTATATAGACTAAAACTAAGGAGTAAGTCTTCTGAAAAGACCAGCAGTAAAATAATTAATCTTACCGGATCTGGTGAATTTTCAATGTGGAGCCCTTGTAGCTCATGGCCACAGAGCCAAACATCATCTCTCCCAGCATGTTAGCATCTGAGGAGCACCGAGAACCCTGCAAAAAAAACCCCACCAACATTTATTTTTAAGCATTTTAGAAGCAAACTTCTACTAAGGCAACATACGACTAAGGAAAATATTCTTTATTTAAAAGAGAAACGTGAAAAATATCTCGCTCTAGCATTATTGAACATGCCAAGTTCAATAAAGATAATGCTAGTGTAGAAAGTGATCTTCACATGGGCTGTGAGCTAAACTACTAAACTCATCCAACAAACCTAACCCATCAATAAGGGTGAGGAGAAGCAGATTCAAAACTCTTAAAAAGTTTTAAGAGTGGATATCACACTTTACTGAACAAGCAGCATTAATCCTAAACCTTGTGTCTGCATGACAAGAAGAATCACAAGTTCACTGGAGATCTTTTACAGACTGTGCACTGGAGCCAAGTGGGACCAGTGCTTTCTTGACAAAGACTGATTCATCATTTATCCACGGGTGGTATTTTATATTTGATGCATCTTTCCCGGGTGCTCTTGTCATGGCACCAAGCAAAGAGCTGTGGCATCACAATGCCAGGCTGAAGTTGTGCAATTCCTGCTTCTGGGTTGGTGAGAGCTTGCTGGAAGGCATGCTGGCTAAATACAAAGGAGGAAAGTTACTCTGCTGCATCACAGGCTAGATCAAACACTGCAAACAAAAACCTAAAATTAAAGTGTTACTCAGGGCAATCAACTGGAGACGACGGCTCAGCTGACAGTCATCTTATTTGGATACTTTCAATGACAGAGATTACTGTCCCTTTATCCAGGGTTGTTTCATCTCTAGGCTAGCAGAATGTTAGTGCTGGCTCTCCGTTTGTGCCTTGCCCTGAATAATTTAAAATATTGTGAGTACTCACAGACCTCAGGCAGTTCATAGGTGAGGTACTTTGGTATTGTGCAAGAGAGCAACACATTTCCTTTGAGGTGCATGATAACTAATAACACTTCCTTGGAGTAATGCTCCCAAAAGATCCCTAAAATCAGCCACAGAAATAACCTTATGTCTGGAAAATGCTAAATGGGTAAGAGATCTAGAGATATAGCAAGTTCTGAACAACCAGGATTGTCACCCAGATTCCTCCACAGGCTTGGAATATATCTAAATATTTTGTCCAGCATTAGACAGTGAGCTCAGAGCACAACCAAGGACAGGCTGTCCATCCACACCATGGATCCCTACCAGCAGCAAGGGACGACAGGAAAACGACTGCTCGGCTAACCCACAGAACAAGGGCAGGAACAAGGAAACGCTCATCAGCCAAAAGGCAACACACTTCTAACACTTCTCAATTTTTAGCTCTTCTCAAGCACTCTCAATTAAGAGGATGGCACTTTAACAGACTTACTATTAAGCTCTGGAATCTGCCAGTCCAAGAAAGATAGGAGATGACTAAAAGTAGCAACAGCGGTTATAAAAATGAGGATACGATTGCAAGGTTTGTTAATGTTCACACGACAGGGCAAAAGCTGATCATTAGCTGGGTCTCCAGAGAAATTTCCATCTTTACCTCCCAGCATATCACACCACCTAGGAGCACTGTAGGCAGTACTGGAAAAACTAGACTTTAAAATCAGTCAGTATGACCCAGCAGCTCCAAGGAAATACAAACATAGATGTGAATGGCTCTAGGAAATGACAGGTCTGCCAGCATCACGAAATCTTGAAGTAAGAACACTGCAAATTACTACAGCCAAATGTTATGATGGTTATTTTTACATCTCTTGCAGATCTTCCTAGGTTGCCCAAGGAAGTTGTGGATGCCCCCTCCCTGGAAGTGTTTAAGGCCAGGCTAGATGAGGCTTTGAGCAACCTGGTCTAGTGGAAGGTGTCCCTGCTGATGGCAGGGGGGTTGGAACTGGATGATCTTTAAGGTCCCTTCCAATCCTAACCATTCTATGATTCTATGATCTCCAATTGAAGGACTCGTTTCTGAAGAAATGTCCAGGCCTTGATGGTTGGTTTTGGTTTCGACTCTCTGCTGCTGGGGAAATCTAATTGTAAAGCTGAAGAAAAATACTTTATAAGATAAAGACTTTCTTTGTCAAGCAACGACATTTAAAAAAAGCAAGTGACAATCAGCTGCACTCAAATTTAATTACAGGGGTTTGCCTTTCCTCTGAAAGACAGAGACAAGCGATGCTGAAGGCAAAGAGCATGATAAGATGCACCCGTGGCCTGTTTCAGTCTATGCTTAATAACTTTACCATGAACAACAGAAGATGTCCATGTTTAACACATTTAATATGGAAACGCTGCTACAGCTCAACTCTTTGGGCCTTTAATGCTGCAAAATAAAAGGTCGCTCAAGACCAAAGTAGAGTGCAATCAACTGAGGAAAGGGGTTAAATATTAAAAACTCAAACAAAAAGTAGCCAAGGAGCATCTGGCAAAAAAAAAAGGGCACAACCTCCGGCACTGACAGCTTGGACACAAACCAGTTCCCTGGGTCATATTTACAAGCTCACATAAAAACTGATCAGAAATACCCACAAGTGTTTGTTATTGCACATTAGCATATTAGAGGTAATAAAATTTGCATCCTTTGGGAATGACATTTCTGAACACCTTTACAGCGTTCACTGCACATATTGTCCTATCAATAACTAAGTACTTATATCAATTAAAAACACAGTACAGAAATAAATGTTGTGAGCAACAGAGGAAAGACTTTCAGCCCTGACTACACTGACAAGCAGGAACAGAGGTAACACCAGAGTCGTAATGTGCAAACAATTGTAGGCAAGCTCAGAACCATATTCAGCTCCATCTTAATGGATTCTAAATCACATTTGTGAGGGATCTGGATAGGACATAATTAAAAATATGGAAGCCTGGAACAAAATCCTGTATTTATTTCACTTTGCAATTAAAGTTGTTCTTAGATAGTCAAAAGTGTATTTAAACAAGGAAAGAAAGAATTATTTAAAAGTCCTATAGTATTGTATTATTTGGATTTCCATTTTATAGCCTGAAAAAACCAAAAAAAACCCACCAAACAAAAGAACTTAAAAATACTGCAAACACATTCAGTGACTTCTGAGGTTACCAGACACAGCAGTTAGAAGATAGGAAATGCCAGGCTGGCTGATGTCTGGACAAACTTACTCTGGCCCTTCTGCATACACGAGACAAGATGATATTGTGCAGTAAAGAACTCTTGAGTTTATGGCTCTCTGCTCACTTGCTGGGATATGAGGAACACAGTGGACAGTTTACCACAAATACACTGTGGAAGACCAACTTGAAAGTTTCTTGCACACTTTCTGAGCTGTCACACAGCCACACATCAGTTCAGTTCAACTCAGTAAGATTTTTGTCTAAACAATATTAGGAAGAAGTTCTTCACTGTGAGGGTGGTCAGACACTGGCCCAGGTTGGCCAGAGAAGTTGTGGCTGCTCCTCCCTGGAAGTGTTCAAGGCCAGGTTGGATGAGGCTTTGAGCAACCTGGTCTAGTGGAAGGTGTCCCTGCTGCTGGCAGGGGGGTTGGGACTGGATGAGCTTTAAGGTCCCTTCCAACCCAAACCAGTCTGGGATTCGATGATACGTGTGAGGAAATGGGGACTTAAAAGGGAAAACTTTCCACAGCTTTAAAATACACTGTCATGCCAACCACTAAAATTAATTTCCTTTAATAACGTTGACCATTGTTTGCACAGAGCCTGCCCAGTAGGAGAGACAATTTTTGGATAGTGGGGGGCATCATTTTTCTTGGTCACACAATGCATGAAGGAGGTTATTTTGTGCTGGAAGGAAGCTGCTGACAGAAATGTCTCTTCCTTTCGTAACCGCAGTTAAATGCCCTTCCAGGAAAGGGAGGAATGGAAAACAGATCTTCAGCCACCTTACTAAAGCTGTGGAAAAGAGTGTGATGAGCAAGAGAAAACAAGAATACGCAGCTTGCCAAATATAGCAAGAGCTAACGTGACAGTGGGAAAGCCAGCACTGAAAGGTTCTTCATTTATATCGAGGGTAGATTAAGACATCAGTAGTACTGTACTTCAGACGAGGTTGTGGAGATAGCAGCTTCCCTCAAACACACAATTACTTCATTACAAAGAGTGGAAGGGCTTAGTTCTATTTTAGGGTGGCTTAATATAAAACACTTGTGATCCATGGAAGGAGAGATGACAGAAATATATCCGTGTCAGATGACTCTAGCTACTCTCACAGCCAAAATCTCTTAAGTAAAATGTAACTCAAGCGCACTGAATCCCTTGTTATAAAGCTGTTGCACAGACTATCCCTACAGATAGTGTGTTTCTCTGTTATTTCCCTGGCATGTAGCAATAAAGTTAAATAAACCACCTCATCTATACCAAGATAAGATATTTGCACCGAGTCTGATCGTACCCAACAAGTGTTATCACCCGGGTCATAAGACAGAACAAATGCCCTGGAGAAATCGCTGCCATTCAAGACACAGCCCAAGAGAACCAGCTGGTTGAGTTTAGACTTTTTCAAACCCAGTGCTACAGAATTAAACGTTACTGAGTCAGAACCAAAGTCTGATTGGGATTGAAAACTGCTCTCCACCACCAGCCTCTAATTTCAAGCATTGCAAAACATTCAGGACCTCACCTGCCGTTAGTATTTGACATGGGTTATTAAAAAAAAAAAAAAAGAGAGAGTGACTCACTTGGTACTTTGGGCATTGTTCTTTTGGATCTGAGAAGGAGGAGGATGAGTTGATTGAACTGTCCAAGGAAGAAGAACTGTCTCCTCCAGGCTTCAGTTGGCAACATTTCCCAAAAACTCTCACCTGAGCATCGCTGCAGAGTTTCTGAAATACAACAAATGCGACACGATAAGACCCCATGACCTGAAATCAATGTTTAGCAGCGCTGTACTTATCTGTTTAGGGAAGATATTTAACAGCTGAAAGGCTTATGTCCCAGGAAAACAGTTAACAGAGTATTTATTAGTGACTCTTGCAGCCTGGCTGCATGAAAGAAAGCTGAGCTGGTTTACTCCCAATTAACCAGGAGCTAACAGATCACTCCAACTTCATTTTCCTAAGTAGCCATCTGTCTCTGAAGCTTTACAAATGACTTTTTTAGACCCAGGATTAGGAGAAAGGATGGTACCAAAGCATTTAAAGGAAGGATGGCAACAATAGGCTCCAGCTGTCTTCATCTTGCTCTCTGTGCCCACTGGGGCAGAGGTGACACAGCAGCGTGATGGGCACAGTGACGATGCCAGCCAGATCATGACAAGGAGCAGTTCACAATGTACAGGAAAACACACAGATTAGGAATAATCAGGCAAGAACAACAACACAGAATTCAGGAGAGATTCATGTTACAAGTGGAGTGAAAAGATACTATTTTATAGATCTCTCCCTAGCTGTGTCTAAGTCCCCTGGTTGTTTTTAAAAGTGGCACAGAGGTGACACGTTCCTCTCGCTTTCAGAGAAGGGAATTGTGAGGCTGAAAATGGACAAAGCTGAAAAAACACTGTTAGTGTTACAGAGAAGCCAGAAAAGTTTCCCAAAACGATGGAGAAATGGTCCAAGGGGTGATTTTTATTAGATTCTATTAGATTAGATAGAAGGCACAGCAAAAAAGGGAGTTAGGAGGGCTCAGATGGAGCTGGAACTGACACACAGGCTGGTGGGATCTGTGCTCCCTCTACACACACACACGATTATCAATCACTGGCACAGGAGATGCTCTACTACAGTTTCATTCACTATTTTAAAACATTTGTAATTTTCCCTGCAAATCTCAGCATCCCAAGCAGAAGCAGCATCCACGTTAGTTAATGCCATGGACGCCAGCATTAGACACAACCCTCTTCACCTAAAGATCTCAATGTGGTTTTCATCTCTTCATTACACTTCAACACACCCACCTAAGTTTGGCATTATTTACACTTGCTAGTGGGCAGCACTAGGTGACAGAAATAGTCTATGCTGCTCAAAATTCCATACTAACTTTGCCCTAAGACTTTCTTAATTAACATTTCCTATATAATCACCAAACCAGTAAGAGCAAAGCCTGCTGGAAGCAAGGTTCAAGGGAGAGATGGCAATACAGAAATGCTGTTATAGGTCATAGTTTCATCTCTGGATACATAGGTCTGCATCACAAGTTCCCTCTCCATTCAAAAATGTAAGTATATCTCAATCTTTAATGGAACAAAAGGAAAAGGGATAAAGAAAAGTGTGAAATACTCAAGGCACAGGGGGGGTAAATTCACGACTCTGCTCAAGAATCAGCAACGACTGCACAAAAAAACCCACCTGCCCATCCTGCTGTGGAGGGATTTTAATGAGGGACAAGATGGGAAGGCTCTACAGGTTACCTTTTTTTATTTTATTTTAATTTTTTTTCTAAATATGACCCCCAGTTAAGGACAAGTGACTTTTATTTGGCCCTAACTGTGGGTTAAGATTTAGCAAAACAGCAGAAAATGTCAGGGATGATCGAGCTGCAGTCGGCACCGCTGCTCCCATTAGAGAGCTGCTGCCACAGAAAGCCTTGAGGAAAAATGTGCAGCCAAATCAGTAATTCAGCAGCAGAGGGGAAGGAAAACCTTCACCAGCCTCTGAGTCCTGTGCTTTACCGACATATAGAGCCTCCCATAGTAGGATCCTCTCGTTACGACATCGCGGCGAGTACGTTGGATTCATGCAATACGTCGATTTGCTAACGGCTGGTATCTGTGGCTTGAGCACAGTACACAATGGCTGGAACATGTGAATGATCATCATATGACTTCAGTAGGAACTCGTGAACTAGAATTGCATTTTATCTCTGACACAAACAACAATGTCCTAGGCTAGGCAAGCATCATGTGATAAAAACCACATAAAATCCACAGGGTTACAGAAGCTTTTGCAGGCAAACCACATTTCAGCTTGTCATTTTCCATCAGATGTTGAAAGTTCCTTCTGAAAAGTTACAATTAGAACCAAGCTTCCTAGAGACTGCAAAACCAGGTGGAAAAAAAAATAATTTCTGTGCATTAAAAAAAGAAAAAAATAGGCTAAGTTTGCAAATGACTTACTTTTAAATCATTTCTTCTCATTATCACTGCATTTTTCTGCACAGCAGCTTTCCCCAGATCCACTGGGGAGTCTGGTATCTTGAAGTAATAGTTGCTTAATTTAAATAGCAAACCAGGAAAACGGCTGTTTGGTCTTCGCAGTGGAGTTTAATGAACCAAGACTCCTGCGAGGAGTCTGTAAAGGAGGTCAGGATCTTTCAAATACCACTTTTCAGAACCTTGTGAACAGTAAAATCCCTCCTAAAATGCAGATCACTGACAAATTTTGGTGTTTGCTCTTTTACAAACTTAGCTTGTGCTTAAGAATGACCTGTTGGACAATGAGATCCAGGACCTGCAATGCCCCCTCTCCTTTGCAGTTTCTGACTCCAAATGTCAATGAAATTTTAAATGCTACAAATCTCAAGATACTGTGCATCAAAGGACTGGGATTACTCACATTCCACTATAATATTCCAAAGATATTCAAGCCAGGTTTACAAAAATTAAAAAAAAAAGTAACCTAATTATTTAAGAACTGCACAAGGGAAAGTTACAAAGCTGTGGATTTTCTTTCCAAATAATCATCCTTACAACAAATGAGATCCCTAGGCAAAGTGCTGCTGGATTCCTCCTCACTTTTGCTGGAGAGCAGAAGATCTGCTGGAAGGATGCCTCCCTCGGGCAGCTGCCATGCTGCTCTCCCTGCTGTGGTCACACTCTTTGTTCTTCCTCTGCCAACTCGCTGCAGATACCACCCAGCTCCAAAGATTTCCTGGCAGTCACAGTTCTTACATTAGAGGTCATCATTTGCTGAAAAGTCCTGGAGATCTATCAGGTGGTACTGAAGGTAACTTCGAGTAAAATGTCTTCCCAGTATGGCAGGGTACAAAGTAGTTTTCTTCTACAGTTCTGCTTCTGGAATCTCTTTTCTTCACCTTTATCAGCAAAGACCTTTAACTCTTTGCCACAAGGTCTATAAATTCTTCAGTAAGTGGAAAGAACATGCCCAGTGCTGTGCACAAGAAGAGGAATATCTGCTGGGCAAGTTTTGTTTTGGGGATAATAAGAAAGTTGAAAGGAGCCTTGTTGGTGTGTTGAACTGAACCCAGAGTGTGTGCATGTGGGTTAGGGCTGCGAGTGGCAGAAGGAAAGAGAAATGTCAGCCTATGCTTTGCTCTTTTCTTACCTCTCTGCGGCAGCAGGTGCTCACATACCACTGTGGTGGTAGTGACAGAGAAATCTGTATTTCCAAGCAAAACTGCCACTCTTTAAGAGCTCTGTACCTCATTTCTAAAACAGGTTTTTCAGCAAAGCTGAAAAATTATTCCAAAAGAGATAAATTAACTCTTTTGCTTTATTAAGAGGTGTTGATCTGAATGTGTAATTAAATCTATGCATCCACCTAGGACATGAAAGCAACCTGAGCAGGCATTCATTCTTTCCCTTCAAGTGCTGCTGTAAAAATCCAGGTATCTTTCTTCAAACACAGCTGTCAAGGGCGACATCATCCCTTTACTTCCAGAGTTGTCAAGTTCCTCTATTACTCAGAGGTCAGTGAAAGAAGTAAAGACAACCCCACGCTCCCCTACTCCACTAGCATTCTCCTGTTTCTGTTTAGAGAGAATAAACAGAGCTGAGAAGGTGGGACTGGGTCTCTGTGCTTTATCTGTCAGCTCAGCCTGGCTCACTGGAAACCTGTCCACTGAGATCCAGACAGAGACCAGAGTCTCCATTTCCCACAACTCACCTCAAAGCAAAAGGCTCACTATCCAATTACTAATCCCTCAAAGCAATTTGCTGTTCAACATTTATCCAGTGCTGAAGTGTATTAGAACACGTGGCTAATCCTGGCTTGTTTGAAACAGCGTGCTGGTTTGTTACTTTGGGATAAATATGACATTTGGAGTGAAAGAAATTGCTGCAGTAGGAGCTCAAATATCGTACGACCTTCCAGTTAAATTATCCCAAAGACAATAAGGTTACATGGCAAAAGTGAACTTTTCACACCGCCCCCCCCCCAAAAAATCTCCAAGTCTACTGTGCACCTCGAGATTTCAAATTCTGCACTCTGGGCCACTATTTCTCTTTCTTTTCTTCAAAAAACTAAAATACATCCTGCCTCTGAAAATCCTCTTCTGCCTCTGGGTCCTGGGAACAAGCCAATGCCCTTCTCCAATTCCTTGTCTTTCCCCCTTCCCAGTCAAACCAGCCAAACTCTAGATCCCTGCTCAGCACAGGGTGCACAGCTTGGCTCTTGCTTTCCTTCCTCCCTCCTCTTCCTCATGGTCCCTTGACACCTCTTCTTCCTCCCTGGACTCCACACCTTCTTTTAGGCTGATCTTTAGACTTAGGAAATCTTGTAGCTTCTCACATGTCCATCAGCACCTCTCTTCACTCAAATCCCAAATGGTAACTGCTGTCTTGTCACAAGTCACCAGTGGGCAACATCAGCCTGCTCGGAGGAAAGCCCTGATGCAAAGTTCCCCTTCCCAGCTTCTTCTGTGGTTTCCTCCCCATTTTTCCCTCGTGGCACCAGTTCTGTGGCATCCTTATCCCAGCCAACTGCTGGCCCTTGAAGGAAAACTCCTCATACTTCAGCTGCCCTTTGCACATTGACATTGATATTGACGTAACTCATGTGCCGCGCACCAAACAGCAGGAGCAAAATAAAACACAACGCAGCCTTCGCGTAAGGTTGGCGTGAAGGCAGCGTCAAGGTTGAGAAGTCAAGCACACAGGGGTCAGGAAAGGCAGAGCCAAGGCTGAAAGCTCAGAACTGACCAGGCCACCTGGCCTTTGCACCTTAAAAAAGGAAAAGGAGCTGCTTGTCGTGCTCAATTTGAAATTCAAACCAGCTCGTGGAGGAGTATACCTGTCCTGACACATGGCTCTTGGCTTGGAAACTCAGGACAACCCAACGGGGTGGATGTGTGCAGGGTGTCACGCAGCCACAAAGCACCAGACAGAGAGGTGAGAGGGGCTGGTGGTACCCCTGAGCAGAAAGCAGGTGAAGAGGTGGTAGAGGAAAAGGAGCAGACAAGCACAGAAATGGGTGTACGAGTGGAAATCAGTCATAGGTTGTAACACTATCAGCTGCAAATCAAGTAAGAGTCTCATTAGAAACGAGACACTTATTAGTGTGAGGAACAAACTCAGAAATAACTCTCTAGAGGACATATGGATCCACGAGCTTGCCCGTAGAAGTACTTTGATACCCCAAAATCCAAGGGATATGGTTGGTTGGATGCAGACCAAGGCTATTTGGTAAAGGTGTTAGTAAATTCTCGTATCACACGCTGCCCAGGTACACTCAATGTGCAAATGCCTGTTCTGATACTTTTGCTCATGACCTAGTGTCACAGGGCTGGAAAGGGCAGCCACTCTCTTCTGGGATATCCTGGCAGAACTCTCAGACAGGGGAGTTACCCAATTTTCTGATGCTGGCGAGGCAGCAAGCTTTCAGCTCTGCTTACAGAGCCCAGCTGATCGATAGCCCATCCCCTGGAAAGCTGGGGAAGAACCTCTCCTGCTATAGCACCAAAAAAGGTATAGGACTCACAAAGGGGATCTCTCTGCCTCCCCCCATGCCAAGCACCCACAGCTGCCTAAGGCGGATCTCTGCCCAGCCTTGGTGGAAATGCCTGGCACAGCCTTCGGCCAACATTCCCTCTGCGGTGGCCGCCAGCCCTCCCAGTCACCAGACTGCTGCTCGGCTTCGCTCGCCAAGATTAACTCTAGCAGGACCCGGGGAAAACACCACTTCTCCTGCACAATTCAAACATTGTAATGGCCAAACTGCAAACTCTCAGCTGCCTTCTGTCTGCCTCTCTGCAATACCCTCCCCAAATTTTTGTCTACCTAATATTTAGCTTTATTGAAGACAGGAAGAGGCTGATTTACTATCCAATGAAAACACTAAATCCTTATTTGTGTTATAGTCACATTTCCCTCATGGATAATAAGAACCTAGTAATGCTTTAATAATTAGAGCCCAGCTTGGTGTGAGCACAAACTCTGCAGTTTTCACTCATCAAAAAGTTGGAGCTTAGTGTTTTATTTCTTGAAACATCTGTGTCTGGAAAAGTTTGCTCTGATGTCCCTAAATTTTATAACCCTACCTTCTCTTATAGAATTCAAAGGACTGAGCCATGTTCAGCCTTGATCCACCACACACAACTCTTGACATATGTAAAGATTAGATACATAAAATAGAGCAAAGTGTATCTCACCTTGCTGCAGGCATACAACTCTTAAATTATAATTGCTTTCACGTCTCAGAAGCAACAGAAAATAGGAACTGAAGATCACAGCAACATCAAGCAAACTGAAACCCTCTCGGTTCTCTGCATTAAGACTGATTAGACTTGAACCAGAACAGTCTGGCCACTGCTAGGCTCTCTTGCAAATCTCCCCCCTCGTGTTATTTGTAAATCCAGAGGTATAAATCACGTTAGGAAATGGGGGGGGAAGAGAGATGCAGAAGCGTTGGCTTTTGTGGGGTGGTGAACAGATACCCTTTCAGCAGGGAGAGTGCCCAGCCCACACACATCTTGCTGCAAAAGGGCAAGAGTGCCTTGGAATGTGCTTAGAGCCAAGATCTGGCTTTGTATAGGCAGGGTGTGTCTTTGTTAATGAAAATCATGATAAAGAGCGAGGAAAATAAACAATGCAACTCCTTGCAAGTGGCCAGTACGTACTGCTGACTGTACAAGCCTGTACTGAGCTCGCAGCAAGCCCAGCGAGGGCTCTTCGGCACGTTTTTACCTGCACAATGCTTCTGTTATTGCAAAGTTTGGTTTTTACGAGGAAAATTTTGCCTGACGTGACATTATCTGAGTGCTGCAGAAGGCAGATATCATAGCAAGTAAATGTTTGAATAAATTCTCTTTCAAAGTCTCCTAATACCACAAAAAAAAAAAAAAAAAAAAAGAAGAAATATATCAAGTTACTAGAGATTAGTACCGGGCATTTCAAACACCCTGGGAACAGTCTTCCTCCACCAGTCTCATGTACTTATTTCATAGAGATGGTGAATACAGCTATTTCCCTCCCCCTTAGCAAAGAAAAATAAAGGAGAGGTTAATATGGAACCATATTAGTGTCATTATCAGCCATTTTTTTCTGTTGCTATTGAGCTGCCACAGTCAATGATCTTTCTGAAATAAACCAAAACAGTGAAGTCTGCAAGTTCACTGTGCAAGTACAGATCCATCTTAAAGAGGTTTTAGGCTTTCAAGAAATCAGTTGAAATATGGCATGAGGATTTATACTGTGTGTCTTTTTTATTAATGAAGTAATATTTTATAATTAATAAAGTAATAGTAATAAGCAGAGCCAGCAACTCGTACCAATAAACCACTTATAAAGATCTCTTGTCTTTAAAAACCTGTTTTCCTGGCAAGAACACCTAGAAGAACAGGAATTTATAAATTATAAAGCCATTCTTGTAAGTTAAAATTAAAAAGAAAGATGTATTTTGTTCAACATTTGTGAAACTTGCTTTACTTCACAAATTCTCAAAAAACAACTAGGAAATTGGGGTCTTGATTCATGGCTCTAAAAGCACTAAGAGTAAGCGATGGAGATGCCTGGAAGTTGGTGCCTGATGAGACACAAACTGTCTCCCAGAGGTCAGGGAATGTGGACATGTAGGAAGCACTCAGGACCAGGATGAGAAGCATCAGGCTGGCAGCATTCAGCATTAGGCTGGAAGAGTTTCCAAAGCTGGATGAAGAATCTTCTGGCTCTACTCCAATACCCAACATGAAAACCAGGGCTTGGGGGTAACACACTATTTTGTGTACTCCTGCTTACAGAACTGAGTAGGTCCTAAGGGTAAAAGCAATTGGGATCATAAATTTCAGTCCACACAGCGCTTGCTGTTTGCAGAACTTAAAATGGTTTGCAAATGTTGTTAGAGATGGTGAAGTTCAAAGCAATGAAATAAGTTGTCCAACCTCACACAATGACTTATAATAGCACTGTGGCTAGAAATTAATCTTCTGGCCAGAGCCCTCAGAAGGAAGGATCCTCATCTGACTGCATCTATTATAGTTTCAATTAATAGATTACCATGCAGACCATGCCAAAAAGAAAAACAGAGGAAAAGTTTTCAAGTAACTTAGTGTGGAAAAAAAACCTGTCAGTAAAGCATAGAAACAATGATTGGCAAAAGCTAACCACACAGGAGAACATGAGATGGACTGGGAGGACCTTCTCATTAATTTAAGAATGAAGATCCCACCGTGGCCTAATAGCACATCCCTAAATACCAGTTTATGCCTCAGCCCCCCAGCTGAAGCCCCAGGAAGAATCTTTCTCTCTGCAAGAGCAGAAAGCAGACAAGCCCAGCAATAAAGAGATCACTATAGTATTTAAAGCTGTTAAGAGCAAAATCACTGAAGCCTGAATAATTTGCAACTGAACAGGTATTTAAATATAGCCCTGCATACAACCAACATCGAAACGTTAATGTGCATAAACCAGAACGTTTGTGATTTAACTTGCCATTAAAAAAAAACATAGACTATAAGCATGTAAATTAGTAAAATACTCACCGACACCGAAACATCTTCTATTTTTCTTTTAGCACTGGAGTCAAATAAGACATTCCGTCCTCTTCTCTCGCAGTCCTGATACACAATCAGTCGGATCTGACTTGGGTCAAACTCCGGCAAAGGCCAGCTTTAATTAAAAGATAAAAGAGCAGAAGGATCAACCACCACAACTCTTTATTACACTGTTCTTTCTACATTATCTTTATATACAACTTTATTAAAACATAAAGTCAAGCACATGCAATGCCATTGCATCAAACCCTTTGATCCTGTAGCCAGAACTATGTCTTTTGGGTTTTTTTTTTTTTATTCCCCTACACTTGCCAAATTACACTGGTATAAATGGCACCAATCCACTACAACCATATAAAATGATGTGCACAGTATTACCAGCTCTTGTGCTCTGTCTTGTGATATTTCATGTTTTCTTCAAGTTATAGCGTTTTGAAATCAAAGTCGTAGAAGGACTCAGCTTTTGAGTTTCAAAACCAAATAAAAGTAAAATAAAAGTAAAGTAAAATAAAAGTAAAGTAAAATAAAAGTAAAGTAAAATAAAAGTAAAGTAAAATAAAAGTAAAGTAAAATAAAAGTAAAGTAAAATAAAAGTAAAGTAAAATAAAAGTAAAGTAAAATAAAAGTAAAGTAAAATAAAAGTAAAGTAAAATAAAGTAAAGTAAAGTAAAGTAAAGCAAAATAAAATAAAATAAAATAAAATAAAATAAAATGTCCCTCATCATTGCAAGCAGTAGCTTGAAAGCATTCACAATTCAAAAGCAAAAAGAGAACAGGTATCTATTCACACTGGCCTCTCCCTTAAGTAATGAATTTCCACATTTGCAGTCAGGGGTTTTTCAGCCTCATGGGTTGGCAAAGCACTGAACTCCAGAAAAAATGCAAAGTACCTTTCCTACACTTACTTCTTCAGGTTTCACAAACACTGTAGTAACGTACGTGTAGAGAAGTCACAGCAGCATTATAAACTACAACATCCATCCTCATGGATATGCTTTGATGCTGGGGAACAGCCACGTGTCGCTTGGTCCTGCCTATACGCTCAGGTCCTCGCGACGTTCAGACTTAATCAGCAATAATCTCCACTTAAGCCACTGTGATTCAAGGCCACGCTGCTGCACGGGTCAGCAGAACACACACACACAGCAGATCTTTTCCAACACACCTATTCCCAAACTGGTTTTGCAGACAGTAACAAGGAGAGGAGCTTTCCTGAGCCTCTTCCCTAGTGCAGCTGACTTCAGAGGAGCTCTGCAAAGGGAGAACTTGCCAGGCTCAGGCTGGAATATTTTTGTATAATCTTGCCTTTAAGGGTGGTGCTTTGTAGCTATCATCTTAATTTTCCATTTTAAAAAGTCAACCATCACTTTAAAACCCAGCAAGCATTGTTACCCATGGGCTTGGGAATGCATTTTCACCGATATCTGTTCTTGGAAGATAGGAAACAAGACTCCTGCTCTATCCATGAAATCAAGAGGAATCATCTTTCAGCTAGTTACGAGCCATTTCCTAGATCAAGTGAAATTCTATCTTCCTTGGCCTTGGCTTTTAGGCAAGCAGCATTAGCATGAAACCCCAAGAAGTGAGAAATGAGGCCCTGGAACTTTCCAGCCATTAATGACGGATACAGGCTCCCAGTTTACAAGAAGGAACTGTACATATATTTCAGCAAAAAGACACCCATAAGAGATAATATGGATTAAAGTAAACCTGGCATGCTAGACTCCAAGACTACAGTAAATTTTCTTCTCCCCTGTACCTCTAATTCACCAACCAAAAGGGTTCCTTCTCTGCACCCATGCTTTACGTGATCGCTAATGCCGATTTGTAACCCAACAACTTCTGTAATAGGTCACAGCAGAGAATCAATTCGATCACCAAAGCCATGATTGCCTATCAGAAGTTGTTTCAGACTGTCCAATATAGATTCACAGGCTTTACAACTAGTGTAGTCCCAGGGAGGTGAAACTAAGCACCAAAACATACAGTTACTCGGTCTCTTGAGGGAGGAAATCCATTTCCTAATCTGCTCAGCCCCACCATTTAGCAACAAAGGAGAAAAAAACAGAAGCTGCAGAGAAGATAGCGTGCAACAAATGTCAAAGGCAACTTATTACACGAAAAAAGCTTGAGCAACTTGAAACTGTAATAACCTGCTGTCTAGATTTGGGGTCAGAGAGCCCTGCACCCTCTCTGTTTGGGCACCTAAAGCCAAGCGTTGTCCACAGAGGGACATGCCCACATGAAGAGCAGACTGCAAACTGAGCAAATTCTGTACCAAAACCCAAGCACAGAGACAAACTCAGAGCAGAGCTTACATTTACCGGAGGTTCTGCTAACGAGCCCCATCTTGCATCTCAGAAAATGCAAGAAAACAAGATCTATATTGTTTGATGCATAGGGGACAGTTATTTGTAAGAGCTTGGCTTGAGCTAGGGGTGAGGAGGCGAGTGAGACCGCCGGCTAAACTGGCTTCCTGGAGGAACTATCTCCTTATATTTAAGTGAAATCAGTAGAAGTCTGGAAACTCCTTTTGTTTCCAGAGGAACTGTGGTTCCCATAAAGGAACAGTGTGTGACAGTAAGAAGGAATCTCTTGCCAAAAAGGTGCTATCGCTTGCTCCACCCTTACAACGCGTTTGAATTTCCTTCACACTCAGACAAAAGCGCGTCTTCCATTACCTACTACTTTTGATATTTGACTTTGAAATTACTGGCAAAGAAGGGCAGTAGCTGTTCCAGATCTTCGGAAAGTCTACTTATAAAAAGCTCCAAGAGCAGATTACACACTAAGAGGAGAGAAAGCTAAATATAAAACTCTCGCTGTATTCGGAAACATATTTGATCAAGGTAACAAGAGCTTGTTTACTTCTCAGCTTCTTCACATGACATTTTAACTTGCTCTAGACAAGCGTTTCGTAGATGTTACCCATCATAATTTGTGATAATTCCAAATAAGCATTATCTCTGTTACATAATAAGAGTCCTTAAGCATAGTCCAGCCTTGCAAAAAAAAAAAAAACCAAACCAAAACATTCCCTGGCAAGAGCGAGCCACTTCCCAAACCAGAAGGAACTTTTAAGAGAGCTGGGGGAAAGTTCATTTAGACAGACAGTAAACAGAGGAGGCAGCCTGGCACCTCCAGCTCAACCCCACCACCTCCCAGCGAGGAGGAAACAGGACACGAAGTAGCTTTGCTTTTGTTGTCAGCAGCTTTAAAATACCGTTAAGCTTGATATCTGGAGAGATTATCCCCAGAAACGTACAAATTCCTGCGTGCAATACGCAGGGCACGTTCTCAAAACAAATATAACAGGGCACTACTCCAGCGCTGCTCTTCAGGCGGATGAAAACTGACCTAGATCTTCTGAATGTAATTAGTTCTGTTTATAAATGGAAACGAACTTTGACATTTAGCTGATGTTTTCTTGAGATTCTTATAGGAAAACCAGGAGAGGTACAATCCAATGTGCTAGTAATGCTAACGAAAGGTGGGTCTCCATCTCCCACACTGTTCTGGAAATGACGGTTCTCTTCACGAGGACTTTTTCCTGGGTGACCTATCTACTTCTCTTTGATCTTTCCTTGAAACTGATTATATTTAAAGGAAAAAAAAGAAAAACAGACCTAGAACAAACAAACAAATATAAAAATCACCACCGAGAAAAGCCCAACAATCTCTTTCACCAGCGGCAGCGTTTGTGACTTTGCCACTCAGTTAGTGCTGGGATTTCACACGTCAAGCAAGAGAATAATAAATAGCAATAAACAAATGATTTCTGAGCAGGACACCAGTCCTGTGGAGATCTTCATACACAAATAGTGATTCTTCTAGAATGAGATGTTCAGAAATACCTAGATGAATAGAATGGGGTAGAAATCCATTGATGTATAAATGATTTGTGGTTTATTTCAGAAACAAATCACATAAAACCAGCTCCCTCACAATCACAGACTGGTTGAGGTTGGAAGGGACCTCTGGAGGTCATGGACCAACCCCCTCCCCACAGATGCTAATGCAAGTAGAAGGCACAAAGGGGAAGGAATTACATGGGACAGAAAGGCAAACTTTCACATGAAGTTATTAGAAACTCATAACAACGAAATCAAGGCCGGATAAATGGTATTTTAATGCCTGCTCACACTGAAGCTCTACTATTGCTCTTTCACCCATTTTGGTTTTCTGCCTTTTTACATTCAGCCACCACAAGCATTATTTATAATAACAAAATCAAGGCTGGATAAATGGTATTTTAACGCCTGTTCACACTTAAGCTCTACTATTGCTCAGCTCTTCTTACTCTTTCACCCATTTTGGTTTTCTACCTTTTTACATTCAGCCACCACAAGCATTATTTGTGATTTACATTTACAGATCTACTCAGTGCTTCCCAACATCTCTGCTGTGAGTTGGATGGCAATCCAGAACTCCAAATTCTCTCCAAAAATGGAATTTTTTCATGCATCTAATTCCTGGAGTTTATTACTGCCATAGATGTTTTTCAGCAAGAGGCAATTGAATGAGTTTAAATTGGTATTATTATACTCTGAGCAAGTTTTAATAGATGAAATGATAGGCACATAAATCTTTCGTTATCCACTCCATCAATTAAAATACAAGGTTTTCCCTTGTAATTGAAAGCGAGCACATTCCTTCCTCCTTGTTTCCACTACAACACAAACAACACTTCTTCTTTACACTAAGAGTTTAGTTTAATACTAATTTTCCTCCTGCCTGAGACTTCTACTTTTAAAACAAATTCATACTAGCACAGCTTAGGTAGTATCCAATTACTTTTTAATAATTAACATAGATATTTTAGAAGTCTTAAAGAAAAGCGACTGAAGCAAACGGATTGAGATATTAAACAGGTAGGAACTGTAAAAGAGTTGGCCAAAAAGTGAAGTGGCTCAAAACCAGAATATGACTAATCATTGGAAAAGTAAGTTGAAACTATCAGTCAAACTATTGTTTTCCTACATCATGTTACCCATAGTTATAAAAACTGCCTGGTGATGAATCACTTCCAACTATTTTTAAATGCATCTACGCAAATGATATTTATAGTTTATGCTAGCTTATCTGTTCTGCGTGGTTTTCGTGTTGGCACCTTTTTAAAAGGCTTACAGGAGCCGAGCAGGCAGCAGGTCCACCTTGCCCCATGTCCTCCTCACAGGGCTTCACACGGAAGGAAACATCTTGTTTTACTCCTGAGCATCAGAACAGAGGCACAGGGATCCCCAGGGCTTATCTCCACCTCCTGCAGATGAGACTCTTCACGTCCTATTGTTGTTACGATGGTGCTGAGACCCAGCCAACTTCTACACAAGTGTGAGACAGACAGACTGTCCCACTCTTAAAGAGCTGGCATTTCACATATGAGACCATTCCTCTGGGTGCACTGGGATACTTCAGACTATCTCCATGTTCTTCCACAGAGATGTACACTCACACCAAAGCACACTCACCTGCACAGAGAAACCTAGTAGTAGTTAGGATCCTGCTTTGTTATAGGGATAGAATCATAGAATGGTTTGGGTTGGGAGGGACCTTAAAGATCATCCAGTCCCACCCCCCCTGCCAGCAGCAGGGACACCTTCCACTAGACCAGGTTGCTCAAAGCCTCATCCAACCTGGCCTTCAACACTTCCAGGGCGGAGAAGCCACAGCTTCTCTGGCCAACCTGGGACACTGTCTCACCACCCTCACACCAAAGAATTTCTTTCTCACATCTCATCTCCATCTCCCCTCTGCCAGTATAAATTAGGTATCTTAATAAGAGCCAAGTGACCTGGTAGAAGGGAGAAAAAAATGAAAACAAACTAAAGTCAGTTTCATATACAGTTGAAGAATTGGGCAGAGCCAAGGACCTTGGAAGCAGAAGGCAAATGCTCCTTGCCTAGTCCAACCATCGCATCATACACCTCCCACCCTGACTAAGATGGTTTTTCCAACAAAGGATTTCCTTCTCCTGCCCAAATTCCTCTGCCCAGTTCTTTTATCTGTTATTGGATTGTTTTTTTCCTTTTGGCTTTGAAAAGATACAACAGAGGTTGACTACATGGGACACAAGGGCAGGGTATTCTACGTATTTTAATACCTTCTTACTGCAATTCAATAATTCAGTTATTATTTGACCTTTATTGTACAAAGACAGCTGTGTAGGCCTTTCTGAAAGAACGCAACTAATTTGGAAGCAATTAAAACAGCCATGTTAATGATGCTTCCAGCTTTGGAAGATCACCCATTAACAGAGTTTTGTTAGAGGTATGGGCAGGTTGGTTAGTTTTTAATAACACCATCTGAAGTGCCAAAGAACTTTATCAGGATTCCCAGGATAAGGATGATCCAAACCACCTCGTTGACTAGCAAAGTTGGCATTTTCAGTGAGAGATTCCATTTAATTCATGGCAACATAACATGACCATAAGGCTGAGAGGAGGAAGAAGATCCATGAAGTAGGGAAACCACGGGACCTATACTTAGAAAAAAATTTTCAAGATAATTAATTGTCTTTACAAGAGTTGAGGTCACTTCAGGGTTGTGTGACTGTTGTGAACATCTGCTGATTCTGCAGAGAAAACCAATGTTTGTGACTTGACCAAAGCCCCAGAGGGAGCCCGTGACGATGGATTGCGAAGGAGTTTACCCATCGCTTTGGGTGACGCTGCCCTTTATCACTCTGACCTCAGCTGGGCTTTGGCAAAAGTCAAAGGACCTGCACTCTGGGTAGCTTGGAAGAACTGATAGATGGTGGATCACCTCAGGGATAACCACTCACAACGAGTGACTGCTTGGAGCAGTTGCATTTTTAAGGTTTATCACGAGGAAATAACATTCTTTAGGAAGAAAAAAAATAAATCCAAGTCACCTCTTTTCATGTCTTG